AAGACACAACACTCAGAATACGTTCAGCGGGAATCGCTATTCATAAGCATAGCTCAATGTTTTTCAGTAGGAGATGTGACTTCTTTTTAAAGTCTGAAAACCTTTAAATCCTCATCTCTTCAGAGTAAAACGCATCCTTCCCTTATACTACTTCGTTATTATATTAATACTATTAACCATTCTCTACCACCGACAATCAATGCTTAGAGTGCTCAATACTGAAAGCTCATGGAAAGCCATGATTCTTGTTTCAAACTTCAAAAAGAAGAGTATGGATGATGAATATAGAAAAATGGTAGGCGCATTATTGCTAATTTATTGATTACAGTAGGTATTTATTAATTTCAACAGCTACTAGCAGCTGATGATCTATTTACGCATACATGGTCATTATCTGTAGAAATGCAATGGTACCTTCTCGTACCTCTTATCTTTATTCTTCAACGATTTGTTACATCATGGCAGAAGACGTTCTTTTCAGGTATGTACGCATTTTCCCAAATTAGTGTAAACGCTGCTCTTCGCTGTCATACTAATTACCGTTTAGGACTTGGATTATGCTCCTTTGTTTTTTACAGCTATGTTGACAGCACAACTTCATTTTATAGCGTTTTCTCAAGAATATGGCAGTTTACTTGCGGTGTGATCGTTTTTTTGAGTCAAAGGAGTGACAAGGTCAAAACCTTCTTTTTATTATGGATTTGATTTTAACTTTTGAACAGAATGAAATAAAAGAAAGAGCAACAGTATCAGGCAGTTCTCAAAAGAATCACGCACTGACAAGTAAATGCAACAAAAAAAAGTAGAGTGATAACTGCGAGTAAAATAAGTGAGAAGCTATGATTGTGAACACAGAAGAATGGGTTATTGAACAAAAAGAGCTTTGCTTTTTGGTTCTCTCGCGTTGTGATTGGAACGCGATTTTGCATCGGAGCAGATATGTTAAGATTACTATTTGCTACTCAATAATTAAACGATTTGTGATATGATGAATTTCCTGAGAGAAATAATCAAACTTTTATTTTATTGGTTTGTCAGAGTAAATATACAAATTGCAAATATACATTCCAGGAATTGAGTGGAAATATGATCACAGACAAGACCACCCTACTCCATGAAGAAGCTGGTAAGCTAACATGGCTAGACTCAGTTTGTTAAAAATTATTGTTACAATTGCGATCGTGGCAAACTTCTGTAGATGCCTATGGATAGCTCATGTGCTTATAAGCAACCGGTAGGCGCATAAGAAATTGCGAGCTGTTTTATGTGAATTAATGAAGCAACGTCGAAAGCAAAGCATCTATTTGAGTTGAAAACTTATCTTTGAAAAATTTTAATAAGTAATCTACACTTGTTGGTGCTAAAAAGTCCGACCTATTAAAAATCGGAAAACCCTTAAAGTTTTTCAAAATCATTATAATTATAACGTAGCCTGCAATACCCAAAAACATAGACGTGGAGGTAATAGAATGAACATTTCAGGAGCAAGAAGAAAACCTTTATATTCGATTTTTGCCTGTATTTCCATGTTTTTTGTAACTGTCATACCACCTCTTATCTGGCTTCCAATCCCAGCGCATATACTGCGAGTCTTAGCTACTATTTTCAGCGCAATTCTTATATATGCTGGGAAGTACCATCAGGTGTGGATAAGAGAAATATTCATATTTTGGGAAAATGCTTGATTTTCAGGTAATTGCCCTTTCCCACCACCTCATTGCCTACGTTGGAAATATATCATACGCATTGTATCTTTTTCACTGGCCTGTTTATGTCATATTCAACT